TAGTAGTGGTAGTAGTAGTAGTAGTAGTCGTGGTGGTAGTAGTAGTAGTAGTTTGCACTGTCATACATTGTCTGCACTACAAAGTTCAGGGTATGATCCAGGCCCTTGTGAACAATGCCCTGCCCATCAGCGTACTTGGACTGATTGCCATCCAATCGGCACTGACTAATTGTAGGTAGATGGCCAAAAAACTTGAGTTGTTTTACGACACAGATCATGGCCAATGCGTATTCCTTGGGCGCGGTTTCACGAATCATTTGTTGGGTTCCTTCGCGAAGTTCCTCCCAGCTTGACATGTGGGTTCGTCTGAGTGGCTGTTTCGGACAATTGATAGCGACAATGCGTCAGATAGCATAGATCCACAAAGAATGACGAGAAGATTGCCAAACAAAGGCAAGGTGATGTATGCAAAACAACTTGTGGCTTATAACGCAAGCCAAAGCTTTACAAAAAAACATCAACAAAACACATAGACCACCTTCTCCCAGGCTTGTCGTCCAGTGCCAATGGACCGGCCATTGTCCAATCGCAGCCTGTTTAGGACCGAACGGCTGAGAAAGCCGAGAAAGCGGAAAAGGCCTTAGGCACTGATTTTGGGTGTTCAGCCGACTTGGTCGAACTCAGATTGATGATCTGTTCGATATGTTCCGATTTCCAAAGCATGTCTTGACTTCAATGTTGGGAAAATCAGCTAGTAGGAACAAGTGCCACGCTACTAGTAACAGGTGCCACGCTACTAGGAACAAGAAGCTATTAAAAACATCTGAGAAGAAGCACCCCGTGGTGACAGTTCAACACGACGGTCACTCTGGGAGTCCGAACGAGAAGTCCTTCCGCCGGTACTGGCCAGGGCCAATGCTACCACCCCTGCGACACCCACGAAGCAAACGCCACGCGCGCAGAGGTCATGTGGCGCGCAGCAGAGCGCGTGGATTTTGTTGGGTGTTATTTTTTCACAAGCAGAGCAATGGCAGACTCTCTGGGGTAGATTCAATGCCCGTCTTGCACCTCTGCTCACGAAAGCGCTCAGCGCAGCCAAAGGATTTGTTTTCTCTGGACTTGGCAATGGGCCCCTCAGAAATGAACACATGGTAAGACAGTTGCACAACGCAAGCTTTACTTACTTTGGCACATCACAACGCACTCTTCGTCTTCCGAGATGCGATGCAGAATATCGGCCGGGGGCCGGACTGCACCCATTTGCATAGCTGGGCATTCCCGCACATTGTACCTGGGTCAAGAAGCCCTCATCCAACAATCTGTTTTCTGGATGTGTGTGTGTGTGTGTTCTTTGGGTCTTTCGTCACTTTTTGCTTGCTTTAGACTTTAAAAGCTCCTTTTTTTCCTCTTTCTTCAGTGAAGCTCCTTTTCAAAGCAAAGACCTCAAAGGATCCGTTGACGTTTTTTCCGCTGAGCGCCCAGCGTCGGCCCGGGCGAACCGTGAGGATCCACGCCCAGCGACAACGAGAGATCGGGCCTGACAACGCGAATCGCGTGACGAAGCACCGGGCGGTTGGCGAAGAGTTGCACCAGCATACGATCTACGTATCTATGCTTATGTATATATATATATATATATGTAGTGGTACCAGATATACCAAAAAGGACCCCCCTTTTCTGGACTAACTGTCAAATGTGGTCTTGTCTTATCAAGAAAAGAGTCAGATGGGTGCTAGGTATATATAGTAGCCCTCCCCCAAATATCTACCTGTTTGACAGTGTTCACAAGAGTTTATCCGTTGCTATTTGAGATTCTTTAGATTGAGGGGGTCTTTACCAAACAAAACCAAACAGCACTTTAGACCAATGAAACAAAAATGAAAAAAGGATGTAACTCGAATCCCTCAAACCCGAAACTGACTCAAGCGGCAAATAAGAACTATCGTAATGGCATACCACTCCATAACTATACGTCGACAGTGACAGCGTCCATGCCTGTTCGAGCCTCCAAAGCCCTGGAAGCTTCCATCATCAATGCGCGGACGAATGTCCATAGTGGATGGAATCTGAGACAAAACGACCGACACAAAGTGTCAAAGGTGCTGCATATAACTTGATCGTTTAATTGTGCTCTTGTGTTCCATCTCAAACAATGATACTCTTTGTTTCAATGCGCTCGTTATTTCACAGGTCCGGGCTGTGTAGGCGCAGCTCGGTGACTCTCGCCCCAAATTGGTAGCTGGCAACGAAACGAAGAAATGGCTCGACGCCAACAAAATCGAACAAACAAAATGCTTTTCCCAGCTCACACTACCCGCGCGAAGGGTTTGCTTTCTCAATCGAACACCACGGCTGGACCTGCTGAAGCTTTGGAGACGGTGACTTTCTGCCAATTATCCCAACCTGAAGGCATGAGGAATGAGGAGCAAAGCAAAAAACGAACGTGGCGAAAGTGTTCAGACAATCATCGCAAGAACAGGGAAGAGGAAAAAAGTCCACCAGACAAGATAAGAATCAACACTTGTCGCGTTTCTAAGAAAGACAAATATATGTGTATATATACATCAAACTGCACGCTCCGCGCGGCTCTGTGCTCTCCACCTGTTCTTGGGAGGCTCATCTCCGGCGCCTCGCTCTACAAAATGCTTTGTCCCATCCGGTCTCAAATGGCCTTCGAGACACGCCGAAAACACCACGTATAAAGGCCAAAGCTGAACCCGAAAGGCCAAAATGCCGAAGTCACCAGGGCCCAAGCTGAACGGCACTTGCTAAACATCTGCTTTCCGAGCCTTGGAACGTGGCCAAGCTTTCGACCAATGAGTGTGATTTCGCGTGCCTGTTCGGAAAAGAATACTCAGAGCAAAATTGAAAGAGTTACAACCAAATAGAAGTTTTGTTCTTGCTCTGGTTCTCTCATCCTTGGACGAACCTATTCAGTTTCAGTCTGATCACCCCTCGGGCCTCAGACCCCTCGGACCGTTTCATGTTCGCTCCGTGTTCTGTGTTCTAATCTGGAGCAAAGAAAAAAATCAGAAACCGATTAGCTTTCTGTAGAGCTACTGTTGACCTTCTTCTTTCTCCTTCGAAACTCGAATCGTTCAGGTCGGAAGGAATCGACGGTCGGCTTTGTGGGGCTCCGACGCATTGAACCCTTGACTGTCTGGACCAAAATAGTGTCCAGGCCCAGGCCTCATCTCTTCCACTCAAAGAAACTTCACATATTCATATGCACGAGAAATCAGAGTCTGCCAACCTGACTTACTCTTGAAAGTGCTTAAAGCATTTTGTACTTTGTGTTGAATCATGTTGACAGGTGTTTCATGCTAAAAACCATCGCCGCGCCACTCGTGCGCACTCTCAGGGATATCATTCAGCTCAAGCTGCGCCGAAACCTTGGATGGAGAAAGGACGAGATGTCAAAATGGATGAAAATCTGAAAAGAGATAACTTTACGGCACTACTAGTAAGGCACTTGTTACTACTAAGCTTTATGGAAGAAAAACAACGGTTACTCTTGATGACTCTTGAGGTGATTTGTTTGTGTGTCTTTCTATACAAAATTAAAAGAAAACAAGAAAAGAAATGAACAAGGAAATTTGTTTGGCCCCCTTTCGATTTCCCTTACCTTTCGTTACTTTGATTTTGTCCATTTCTTGCTGGTTGTTTTTTGCTTTCCTCCTCTTGGTACCTCGAGACACTGAGGTCTTTGCGGAGGCCAGGTCCAACGGCATGGCGCCAAACAGCCAACCAGTGTGGCCGTCCGGAGGATTGTGGCCGGCCCAGGCCTGGTGCGTTGCGTTCGGAACCTTCCTTGGCTTGCAAAAGCCAACCAACCAGTCTCCACAATATCATCTCCAGCATGAAAGCCCTAGTCTCTAAGAGTTTATATATCTATACCTATGTTTACCTTGTGCTTCAGCTTGTGCACCCTTCTGACCTTTCACTCTAAACAAAACTTAATACAGCGAGGTTTCTTCATTGCCAGTAAGTACCTTTGCTTCATGCTTAGCTTAGCATAGCTTAGTTAGCCTACCGCCCCGCGGCCAAAAGCAAGCAATGAGTACCTTAGCTCCCTTTCCCCTTGGAAAACGAAGCTTCGCCTCGCCTGACAGAAACCAGACGAAAACCGAAAACCTCTGCCACCAGAAACTTCCACTTGGAAAGGCGAAGGATGGCTAGTAGCGGCTACGGCTTCTGCAGTGCTTCTGCACGCAAAAAAGAGAAAAGGCTACCTTTCACTGGATGTGTTTCCTGCTGTTCTGAGTTCTTGTGTGCTTGCCACGCTAGCCACAATGCTTTGAAAACACTGATGTCTTTCACTAGTGATTTCATAGCTTGAGAGGAAGCTGCCAAGTCCTCAGTGGATCATTAAAGAGATTGCAGGCTGAGTAGCAAGTCCACCCTGGATGCTCCAAGAGGGTCTGCTGAGCACGGTGTGCTACAGTGTGCACAATGCGCCTTGTGTAGCAAAGCAGGAAGCTGTTCTTGGTGTTATAATGATGCATCGCTACTAGGAGCAAGGACGCTATATACTACGGCTCTCCTGGCCTTACTACCAGGAGCAAGAAGCTACTAGGGGCTCCTGGCATCGCTGCTAGGAGCAAGGACGCTACTAGGGGCTCTTTACGCCGCAAAAAGTGAGTCACCTTTTTGCCACCAAGCGCCAGCAACCACTGTAGCTCAAACAAATGATTGTCGTGGACGCCAAATGTCCTGTGTAAAGAGGCTTACTGTAATAAAGCTGTGCAAACAGAAATGAAAAAGAGGAAGGGAAACGGTGGCTTCTTTTTACCTTCATACTCTACTCCAAACCTTTTCTAGGTGCCCACCACCTTGAAAAGAAATCATCTAAGCCAGCCATGCTTGTAACCTTAAAACCGTCGGTTTCTTGAGAAGAGTCAGTCCTGAGGTCTCAACCCAATTGTTTGAGACCAAGGTCGGTTAATCAGACTACTTGTACAAACATTACCAAACAACCAAGCCCGTCACCTCAACTCAGTGGCATCCTTGCAGGAGTGAGACATGACTTTGCCAGTGTCCACCGATGGCCGGTATCATGAAGTCTTGGTGAAAACAGCTTTGTCTCTGGTCCTTTATAAAACCGGCCACTCGCCTTCAACTGGTTAATGAACATCTGCTATCTTCCCAGACGTTTGTCGAGGAAAATTGGGACAAAATCACTTGCGCAATCTGTAAAAGACAAGCGAAACAACTGCCAAACAAAAATTGGCTTCCACAACTAGATAACTGTAGTAAACCGCCTCTCACGAAGAGATTTTCAGTTTCAAACACCTGACGGATCCCGGACTTTGCGGGTCACTTTCTCCTAGCGGCGCAGGTCGATTGGCGCCTTTTCAAAAAAACAGCACGCTATCGCCGACCCAAAGCGGGAGAACCAGTAGCTGGCACTCCTCAGGCAGTGCCCAAAGGAACAGTTTTGGAGTTTGCTGTCTTTACATGCAAGGAGCAAGCAAAGACACTATGCCGCATGGGTAGCACCAGTCCTGGCACTCTGTCTGGCCGGCGGGTGACGGTTCGGATGTAGGCACTCCTCTCCTGGCAAATCTCACTCTGTTTGGCAAAGGAACAAACACAAAAGGCAAAAAGGTCTAAATGATTCTAAATGTAATACCAAAGGCAAACGAAAAAAAAATAAGAGAAATTTGCAGCAAAAATGCAAAGCGAATAAAAAGTAGCACATAACTATAACGATGCAAAACTCGTTCCTACCTTCTTGCGACGCTTCTTCTCACCAGGTTCGCACAGGTGACAAAACTTGCAGTCTTTGCCGTCCTAAGGACAAAAATGAACAGAACATAATTTCCATATAAGACCTGTCATTCCATGAGTCAAGAAGTGTCATACAAGAACGCCCAAGTATTTGAGGTTCCCACTTTGCAGCCCTTGGTATTCCAAAATGCACAGGGTTTGCAGAGTCGAAGATGGTGTCCTGCAAAATTTGAGCAGATACAACTTCGGACCAAACTTACCGCCATTTTGGAGCGAAGCCAACTCAGTTAGCTGCTAGCTCGAGTAAAGATTACTTTTAGAAAGGGGAAGAAGAAAACAAGGCCTACTATGGTTATTATGATTTTTCTGAAAGCCTTCGTTTCTCCACACGGAAGCCTCAGCGAAGCCACAGCATCGATCTCGATCGGCTTCCATCGTCCTGTGGACCCCACGTTGAGGTGTTGCCCATCCACTTTGCCCGGCGGCACCGGCCTATCGGTGCATAGGCGCTTGCGGATTGCAGTCTCGACACGAAAGAGGCAACGCGCATCTGAGAGTGGCAAATCACTGAAAATACCAGAGTCTCAGACTCAGAGTTGCTGATTGTGTTGCTAAAATGAGTTTCACCATGATTGTTTGGCCTCTGTCCATCCTCATTCCAATCCTGACAGGTGAGAAAACTGTGCTTGAGTTACGCCATGATCAAAGTTCTTTCAATCAAGTGTTTCCGTGGAAGGCACTGTATAATCCTAGAGTAGGAGAAACACATATTGCCAGCATGTACCCTTGTGAATGGCCATTTTGTGCTCGAGCTTCAGTAAATGGAATCAAAAAGCAAATATGTTGAATGGCGGTGGGCAAATTCTCTCTCCGGAGCTTAGTCGCTGACTTCAGAGTCCGAGTAGTCATCGTCGTCGTCATCGTCGTCATCGTCATGATCATCTGGAGACACCTCAAGAAAGTTGAGGAAGCTGAAACTTATCAAATAACTTCAGTCAGCCCTTTGGCCTGTAACTGTTGGATTGTAAAGAGAACCGTTGACGCAGAACTGAACAGCGTGCATCACATGCGTTTCCAGTCCAAGTTCTCTGCATCGCAATGAACCTCTGCGCCGGCCTATGGTGCAAAAGAATGAAATGCTGAGCTGATTTGAGAAGAGGCAAGGAACTCAAAAAGGCAAGGAGCCACAGCTGTATGACTGTGCAAATGCCAAGCAATCGATTCGTGGTATGACTCACTATGTCTGAGTTGCTGAACTGTTTGTAACGTGTATTGTGGAATACAAGGTGAAGTGCTGGGTCTTTCACACCAGTCAGACAATGTCTTCTCATTGTTGGTGTGCCTTTATGATCCTTTATGTGCCTTTTGTTCTTTGACCTGCAGTAGGCAGAGTGGTAAAGTGCTAAGTTTCCTTTGACGGAAGTTGTAGATCTTTTATACGGGCGACGCCGTGGTTTCTCTCACCGGCCTTTGGTGGTTTGAAGGTTGAGGGCTATGGTGTAGCTTTTAGGTTGAAAATGTGTCCGGGTTGGAGTCATGGTGTGTGTGTGTGTGTCCAACCCTGGACAAAGGGTCTTCCACCACCACTCTTTTCACTTTACATGAGCAGGGGGGCAAGGCCTCCAGCGATGAACCTTGTCCAACGAAGCTAAATCGCTGGAGGGGAAGCGAATGGAGACGTCCATTCGTGTACCTGCAACCGGAACGTTTGATCAAGCTGTGACTCCACTTTCCACGTTTTGGTTTATGGTCCTTCATGATACTCTCCCCGAAACCATTTTCCTTTCCGCATTGCAGCTGCTGAGCCACCGATCGTCAATCGCACTATGCTGATCCTTCACTGCAGACTTTAACAATGATTGTTGAAACACCTACAAGTTCTTCGGACTTTTCGCCATGCCGTTCCATCACCCTCCTTCTCACCGAGACAATTGCGTTAACTGAAAACCCAAGTTCGAAGTGTGTCCCGCTCAGCCGTCCCACTCGGGTGCTGAGTGTGATCCCCGTCACAGGGGCGCCGACCTTGCATGGGAAAGCAACCACCCCAACGCACCACCGCTCACTGGACTCTCACAGGAAGGCACCGACACCCTCACAGAATCAACTGCCACACCGGCCGCCGGGCCAAAAAACGGTTCTTGATGAATACTTCGGATTCAAACTTTCAGATTTTAGATTTCAGCATTCAGATTTTTCATGTCTTCCAATCCTGTGCGTGTTTCCATGTTTGCTATGTTGCTGCCGCGATTCTTTCATCGACAGAACTCAAGGATGGGCATTACAGCTCTTCAGCTTAATTCGAGATGCATGAACACACACCTACCAACAAGCTCACATCTAACACCACCTCACAACATACTCACCATCGACGCCAGAGATGACACCTTCAACAACAAACAAGACAATACAACTCGGCACCTCCCGCTGCTTTTTGCTGCCGCGCCGCGCCGCGCCATAGCTACGACCACGACATGCATTTTCCGTGGCCCTATGCTCACACCGCCACCACCATTACCTACCACACAACCTCAACCCACATGGCCGATGCCACAACCATCAACTGCACCCACTTTTCCCCCGACACAACCATCGGCATTCCCTCACCCACAACCACAACCATTTCAACCACCACCGTTTTTGTCCAACCCTACCGCCACTGCCATGACCTACGGCACACCATCCACTTGGACGTTTGTCCAACCATGTCACGTGCCACCGCAGCCCACACAACCAGCTCCAGTATTTCCGACAGCAGCACCTCCCCCTTCATACCTGTTGCCACCACATCATCCCACACCACCGGCTGAACTTCCTCCCCCCACTACACTGACACATCCCCCTCCAACACAGCAACAGACTGCGATTGCCAATCATCCATCCACAGACCCCCAATGCGCCATCCCCCAGGGCGTTTGGCAACCATATTCAGCTTTTCCCCCCGTCACACAGCCTCCACTCCAACCGGTGCCCCCGCCACCGCCTCCACAAACCATCAACGCCTCACCACCAGTCCAACCTCCACTTCAACAGCAGCCACCATCGGATCCAACACCACCAATCCAACCCATCCCCACGACTGCCCAGGACAATCCATTGCCGGTCCAAAACACGCCCCCACCAGCTACCGTATCCCAACATTCAGCATCCCCATCGCTAGTATCTGCCACACCAGCACCTGGATCTTCACTACCAGCACCAGACAAACCTGACACCACTGCCTCACCAGCACAGCAACCACCTTCCCCGCAACCACCGCACAGCAGTCGCCGTCACCACCACAAGAGCCGACGCAAGTCCGACCATCACCACAGAGGACGCCACCGCCACCGCCGCCGACATCACCATCACCGCCACTCCAAACATCACAGCACAACCCGGCGACGGCGGTCGCCTTCAACATCCACTTACACATCCAGCCTTACGCCATCCCGCAGTCGCTCACCACCACAACCCATTGATCTACGCCCTAACACCGAACACTCCAACCCAGACCCCTCTCAATTTCCCACCACAGCCGTCCTCCGCCGCCCAATCAACCGCACCCAACTTTCACACTTTTACACCTGCAGACCAAATCCTGGAATGGCTCGAATTCCACGCCACCCAACTCGACAATCCCAACCGACCACAACACCAGTACATTGCCGATATCCTCACAGACTGCAACATCACCTACAAGGAGATCACCGATTTCCGACAATATACCCACGCCAAGTGGAACGACACAACTCACCAATACGACCAATTCCAGTACTACGCCATTTCACTTCCCTTCCTCAACACTAAAGCCACTACACCAGAGCCACCTGCGGTTTCCCGCGCCACATCAACCCACCGGGAAGTCGCCCACATCAACGCAGGCCACACAGGCCCCGTCGGCAACATTTCCAACATTCTACGCCAAGGCCGATTTTTACCCAGCACACTCCACTTTGCCAACTACCCTGGATTCTTTGCCCAGGGCGTTCGCATCACCCACAACCAACCCCATGACCACAACGAACTTGCCCGCATCATCCACAACACCTGGCACCTCCACAAGAATTCCCATTCCCTTATCATCACACTCCTTGCTTGGGGTGCTGCCACAAAATATACCTCTGGAGGTGAGGAACACGCCATGAACCTCCTTAACGACCACCATGGTGCAGTCTTTCATCAGAAAGGCCGCTGCTGGGTGATCCACCCGGACCACGCCATTGTCAAAGGACTGGCCTGGTCCACCAACTCCACTCCACCGGACCCATAACACCACTACCACACATCTACACACCACTACCACCTCCACATCCACTTTTGGTCTCACACCACCGCCCAACCTTTGCTGTAGCAGCAAAAAGAGCCTCCTGCAGCGACCACGGGAATTTTGAACCCTCAATTTTTCAAGCTCTGCAGTGTTTGCTGTAAACATCTTCCTTCGAATGGTACCGGCTGTTTTGATGGAGTATTTCACATGTCAGATTCTCAAGTACTTGATTGTCCAACCGGCATTGCATACTCGCACTTTTGCCTGTCGGAATTTGATGCTCGCTTAATTCATATGCACGGCCTCATGATGACGCGCTCCCTCAGACTCGCCGCTGTCCGGCTGCTCTGGCGCGCTGCTGCAGCAACCTGTGACGATTCTTAGCTACTGTACACCCCTACATCTCAGAAACATGAGCAGCACACCGACACCTCTACAAAACGACACCTCAACTCTCATACACAGAACCGCAGTGGCACTTTCGCAGGTGCAAAACCTGCTCCGACAAGCAACAGATATTGTAGCACACCTCCACACTGTTTTCCTCCACCACTGCCACCAAGCGGATCCCACTTTCCGCCAACACTTTCAGCCACTTCCAACTCCACCCAACCACCCTATACGTTTACCATCTACCACCTCATCCTGTGACTCAGCACCATCCAGACCACCCATCCGTTTACCAGCACCACCCTCAAAAGACTCAGACGACACTCCAACAACAACCCCAGATCCACCACCTACCACAACACGCAAGCGGAAGCAACCACCCCCACCACCACTGAACCAACATGCGGACTGGGATGCTTGGGACGGCGACGCCGACTGTCGCCTGGTCGAACTCAAAGAAAACCCCAAACTTCGTCCCAACTGGACCACTGTGGCTCGCCGAGTGGGTTTCTCCGTTGAGCAAAGGCCCGATGGCAAGAACTCAAAGACATGCAACGTCAGCAGGACCAGCAACTCTTCTCCACACCACTACCAACCGCACCACCAAGACAAGCACCTTCCCCATCACCAACACCCACATCACCAGCAATTTCCCCAGCACCACATTCACAACCGGATTTCTCCCCTTCCCCCATGACAACGCCACCGACTTCACAACATCAAACGACTCCTGCTGCTGCGCCGGCTGCTGAGCGGGACCTTAGTGAAGACAGTCATCCGGAGAAATCTCCACTTACGCCCGTGGTCAGTTATTTCATTTGACCCGTTTCACCCACCTTTCTTTACGGCGTGCCGCAGGACAAATCCACTGACCCGCACTGACATTTGGTTCTTCACATCCAGTTTACTTTCACCAGGTTGCCCAACTTCGAGTTGTCAGTTTTCAGGCTCATTTCAGCTCCGCAGCCTTTTGTACGCCATTTTATTCCATCATTTGTCATGGCCAATCCTCGCGCTCGCCCTCATAGCAACCCCGCCGACACAGAACACTACCTCCCACAGCGCCCTCCAAGCTGGCTCCAACCTTCGATCAACACTCAGCCCGATTTTCAATCCCTCAACGGCTCTTTGGACCTCCTCTTTCTGGTCAACCAACACCTCCGCCGTCACCCATTCCACACTGAACCTATGCCAAGCCAGACCTATTTTCAAGACCAGAGAGCATACAACCTCCTTTACCGCATGCGCGGTGACCTGATCTCGCTGGACCGCCTGATCGATAACCTCTCTCAGGCTCGTCGGCTCCTTCAATTTGTTACCACCGGCCCCGGGCTCCCAGGACAATACCGCATCAACCCCACAGCCACACTCTCCAGCAGAAACCTGGCCATTATACACAACATACCATCAGGTTCTCCACTACCACCCGGACTTTCCAGCCGTTCACCCTCTCCTTCACCATGTACCCCACCACAAGACG